GGGTCAAGCCCTCTCCCGGATGACGGTCTCGTAAATTGTCACCTAACGTCTATTTTTCGGTCCCGGAGAGGAGGAAGCTGTCTCAGCCGCCGCCCCCTCCACAGGAGTGTCAGCAGGACCTGCTTTGAACTCGATGTAAGGTGACCGTCCAAAGTTTCCCCGACGGTCGATCCCTCGATCGTTCTCACGATTGACGACCGTGAATCTGTCAATTAGGGCTGGAATGCGACAATTAAATCGTCTCGCACCCCGTTCCTTGGTCACACCGGTCCTATTTACGTAATAAGTCACCGATATATTGACTTTAGCTCGACAGCCGATTTCCGTCCGAGGGGGGGTGTGGTCCCGGCCTCACACTGTCTGTCCATGCTGGAAAATAATGGCACAATAATCAGCAATATACAGCGTATTGCTGATACATTGGATGAAACATTTTCTACTTTATCCAGCAATATTATGTATTCAAGAGATTTTCAGACTTATAAAGCCCAAAGTGAAAAACAATATTTAAACTTTTATTCCTCATATAATGAGGAATATAATGTGCCATTCACCAGCATAGAACTACATACAGCAATCTCTTNGTGAAACATTTTCTACTTTATCCAGCAATATTATGTATTCAAGAGATTTTCAGACTTATAAAGCCCAAAGTGAAAAACAATATTTAAACTTTTATTCCTCATATAATGAGGAATATAATGTGCCATTCACCAGCATAGAACTACATACAGCAATCTCTTGCTCGGGGAATAGTGCTGTAGGCCCGGATAAAATCCACTACAGCATGATTAAAAATCTGTCAAACAATTCCCTTTCTAATCTCCTGTGTCTGTTTAACAGAATATGGACAGAGCAAACTTTTCCTGACTCTTGGAGGCTATCTATCATTGTTCCCATTTCCAATCCTGGTAAAGACCACAAGAACCCCTTTAATTATAGACCAATCTCTCTGACAGGTTCCTGTGTAAACTCTTTGAGAGTATGGTAAACAGACGTCTGATGTATTTCTTAGAGAAAAATGAATACTTTTCACCACATCAGAGTGGTTTTCGTAGGAACAGAAGTATTACCGATAACTTAGTAAACGTTGAAACATCTTGAATCAAGGTTGCTTGTTGTTCTCTATTATGTGTGTTTTGTTAGCACAATGTTGCTGTTGAGAACATGTCATACAAGAACACTTTAAGAGGAAAAAGGTTGTTTTATTGATACCTGTAACCAATTTGATAATTATGTAATAATAATAGGACTGAAGAGGGGCATTAAGCCCGAAATGCATATCCGTCCAAGCCAATAAAGCAATCTTTTTCCTCTTAAAGTGTTCCTGTATAATATGTTCTCAACAGCAACATTGTGCTAACAAAACACGTTGAAACGTCTATTCGCAAAGTGTTTGTTAGACGACAGCACTTAATGTCTGTGTTTTTTGATATAGAGAAGGCCTATGATCGATGTTGGCGATGCGGGATACTCCGTGATCTGTACCAATTCGGATTGCGGGGAAATTTGCCAATTTTTATAAAAAATATCCTACAGAATTGAAGTTTCCAAGTGAGGATGGGCAACAGACTATCTAGGCTTTTCACACAAGAAGAAGGCATTCCTCATGGTTGTTTTTTGAGTGTGACTCTCTTCCTAATTAAAATTATCAGCATAGCTAAGTGTCTTTCTCCTAGTGTAAAACACTCTCTGTACGTGAATGACTTTCAGATTTCCTGCCAGTCTAGCAACATGAGTTTTATCGAGAGACAACTGCAAACCTGCCTAAATTGCATAGACCATTGATCGAAGACTAATGGTTTTAGTTTGAACACGGAGAAGACCTCGTGTATCCACTTTTGTTGAAGGCATGGACTGCACTTGGATCCTGAAATCTACCTAAATGGGGTGAAAATCCCAATGGTGAATGAGGCAAAATTTTTGGGTGTTTTGTTTGACCATAAACTGACGTTTTTGCCGCACTTGCGCAATTTGAAGAGTAGATGTCTAAAATCTTTGAACCTTTTAAAGGTACTGTGCTGCTCATCCTGGGGAGCAGACAAATGTTCTATGCTCAGGATTTATAGGGCCCTTGTCCGCTCAAAGCTGGACTACGGGTGTGTTGTGTATTGCTCTGTGCGAGAATCTACTCTTTGGATGCTGGATCCAATCCACCATCAAGCACTGCGTTTGTGCACTGGTGCTTTTCGAACTTCTGTACAAAGTTTGTACGTGGATGCTTATGAGTCTCCTCTATCTTTCAGGAGAGAACAGTTGTCTTTTTTTATTACATTAAGCAGAAATCCCAAGCTAAACCATCAGTTGACTGTACTGTATCAGATACGCAACTGATAACATTATTTGTAGCTCGCCCAAGCTGTGTCCCTACATTCAACATAAGAATGGAGAATGCAAGCAGCACGATTGACCTGAATACAAGCAACATTTCACAGGCTCAGGTTGATAGTATACCACCTTGGTCAACCCCTGAGATAAATGTTGACTTTAGCTTAAAGCAGTTTTTTAAGGAATCCACTCCAGACTATATCTACAAACAGCACTTTGCAGAAATTCAATACCAAGACAAGAACTTAATTCCTATTTATACTGACGGTTCTAAATCGGATGAATATGTTGGCTGAGCTTTCGTTTGCCAGGATGAAATCGTGGCAGAACAAATTGAATCGAATTTATCTATCTTTACTGCAGAGCTGCAGGCTATTTATCTAACTTTGTTATGTACTCAGAAAAGGTCATCGTTGTTGCGTGATTTACACTGACTCAGTTAGTTTTCTTCAGGCTTTTATTTCATGTGAACCTCGTTCTTACTCCATAGTGATTAAAATTCGTAAATTGTTTTGCCATCTTCTTACAAGGAATTTCTCTATAAAATTTTGTTGGGTCCCAGGCCATGTAGGTATAAGAGGAAATGAAGTAGCTGATGCAGCTGCAAAGTCAGCTAGTCCTTCACAGCATACAATGCATATTGAAGGAGGTTTGAAGCTACTCGTTAAGAAACGACTAGTGGCGAGATGGCAAAATATGTGGAATGCACAAGTCCAAAATAAACTACATGAGATCAAACCTATGATAGAAAATTGGACACATAATAAATATTACGACAGGAGATCTGAGGTTATTTTTACTCATCTGAGGATTGGACATACTCGGTTGACTCATCAATACCTTTTGAAGGATGAAGAGCAACCAGTATGCCAGTATTGCAACTGCTCTCTAAGTGTTAAACACATACTGCTCGATTGCTCTGCCTTTGAGAACAGTCGTAGACAGCATTTTGGAAATGCAAGTTTCAAAGAGATTCTGGGCCAGAGACCAAATCATTATAATGTATTGGACTTTTTAAAAGTCATTAATTTGTATAAAGAAATTTAATTAATTATTTATTTATATATTTATTTCATTTTTGCATGTTGTTGTTCTGTTTACTGTACTTACTATGTGTATATTTATTTTCGTTGTTGTTGTTTATTTATTTAGTTATTATTGTCATATGTTAGTTATTTATCATGTTTAAAATTTTTTCACCATTTGCCCTGGCGCAGCATAGCCTATACGGCTCTTGTGCCAATAAACAAAAAACCAACCAACCAACCAACTCTGACAAGTTGTCTCTGTAAAGTCTTTGAGAGGATGGTATACAAATGCCTGATGTTCCTTCTAGAGGAAAAGAACTACTTTTCACCACATCAGAGTGGTTTTCGTAGGAACAGAAGTACTACTGATAACTTAGTAAACCTAGAAACATCTATACGCGAAGCGTTTGTTAGACGACAGCACATAGTGTCTGTATTTTTCGATATAGAGAACGCCTATGATCGCTGTTGGTGATACGGGATACTCCATGATCTGTATTAATTTGGATTGTGGGGAAATTTGCCAATTTTTATAAAAAATATCCTAGAGAATTGAAGTTTCCAAGTCAGGATGGGCAACACACTAGGCTTTTCATACAAGAAAGTGTTCCTAATTAAAATTATCAGCATAGCTGAGTGTCTTTCATCTAGTGTAAAACACTTTCTGTACGTGGATGACTTTCAGATCTTTTGCCAGTTTAGTAACATGAGTTTCATTGAGAGACAATCGCAAACCTGCCTAAATTGCATAGACAATTAGTCCAAGACCAATGGTTTTACATTTAACACAGAGAAGACCTCATGCATTTGCGTTTGCCAAAGGCGTGGTTTGCACCTGGAACCGGAAATTTTTTAAAATGGGGATAAAATACCAAGGGTCAAGGAGGCTGTTTCTAGGTGTCACATTTGACCAAAAACTGACTTTTTTACAACATTTGTGCAATATAGAGTAGATGTTTAAAATCTTTGAATCCTTTAAAGGTACTATGCTGCTCATCCTGGGGAGCAGACAAAGTTTTATGCACAGGATTTATAGGGCCATGGTCTGCTCAAAGCTGGATTATGGATGCATTGTTTATGGCTCTGCGCGAGAATCTACTCTTCGGATGCTGGATGCAATTCACCATCAAGTGTTACGTTTGTGCACTGGTGCTTATCGAACTTCTCCTGTGCAAAGTTTGTACGTGGACGCTTATGTGCCTTCACTATCCCTGAGGAGGGAACAGTTGTTTCTGGTTTATTATATTAATAAGAAATCATATTAAATTTTCAGTATCAGATACTCAGCGGAAAAGGTTATTTGAAGCTCGCCCAAGTGGTGTTCCTACATTTGTCATAAGAATGGAAAATGTAAGCAACACGATTGACCTGGACACAAGCAACATTTTAGAGGCCGAGGTCAATAGTATACCACCTTGGTCAACTCCTGTGATAAATGTTGACTTTTGCTTAAAGCAGTTTCCTAAGGAATTCACTCTACACTACGTCTACAGACAGCAGTTTTCAGAAATCCAACACAATGACAGGAACTTAATTCCTATTTACACTGACGGTTGTAAATCGGATGATTACGTCATCTCAGCTTTTGTCTGCCAGGATGAAATTGTGGCAGAACAAATATCACCGAATTCTTCCATCTCTACTGCAGAGCTGCACGCTATTCACCTAGCCTTAAAGTATGTAATCAGAAAAGGTCATCGTCACTGCATGATTTACACTGACTCAGTTAGTGCACTTCAGGCTTTGATCTCGTATGAACCTAGTTCTCACTCCGTAGTGATTAAAATTCATAAACTGTTTTGCCATCTTACAGCAAGTGATTTCTTTGCAACTGCATCAGCTTGTTCATTCCCTCTTATACCAATGTGACCTGAGACCCAACAGAATTTTACAAAGGCAGCTAGTCCTTCACAGCATACAATGCATATTGAAGGAAGCGACTTGAAACTGGTTGTTAAAAAACAACTAGCAGAGAGATGGCAAATTATGTGGATTGCACAAATCCACAATAAGCTATACGAGATCAAACTTTTGGTAGAAAATTGGACACACTCAACTGACTCAATACCTTTTGAACGGTGATGATCAACCAGTATGTCAGTACTGCAAATGTACTGTAAGTGTTAAATACATACTTTACAACTGCATTGCTTTTGATCAAAGTTATAGACAGCATCTTGAAAATGCATGTTTGAGAGAGATTTTGGGCCAAAGGCCAAATCTTGAAAACTTACTTGACTTTTTGAAATTCATTAATATGCATAGAGAGATTTGATTATTTATTTATTTATTGTACAATTTTATTTACTTTGAGTTGCATATTTATATTGTTGTAAATATTTTTTGTTGTTGTTTGTTTGTTTATTTATTTAATTGTCATATGTTTTTTATTTGTCAGTTGAAAATTTTTTACCATTTGCCCTGGCACAGCTTAGCCTATATGGGTCTTGCACCAAAAAACCAAAACTAACTAACTAACAAACAAATGTTGAAAAAATTGCTGAAGGTTTATTGCAACAAATATTATATTAAATTTTGTTAGAAATTATTATAGAATAATTTAAATTTTCTTTATTGTTAATTATAATTATTTATTTTTAGGAAATGTTATTTATGCATGTATTGAAATGACTTCTGTGATTTTATATAATATACTTATAAAATACAGTAGAACCTTGATTATCCGGACTAATTTGGGCTGTCCGTGGTGAGGGGACCTCCCAGAGATGGTTTAGTAACTCTTCTTTACCATCCCTGGGATCTGAACACCTACCCACGTGTTTGCCGTGCGTGGTGTCCCATATGCCAGAAAGGGGGATCTTGGTAGTTGAGGGGCAACATAACGTCCCCAACACACTGCTTTGGCCCCTGCTTTGGGTAAACGGGAGGCTCAAATCAGGCTCCGTTTGAGTCAATCGGCTGGTCATTGAGTCATTCTTGACATCGGCTTGGAGTCAACCGATCGATGCAGACCAGGCGGACACGTCAGACAAGATGTGCTCTTCTTGACTGCATTGTGAGGGTATAGCTCCTGGGAAACCCTGGTAATGGTCTATGGGACTCTCCCATGTGAAGGCATTTTTTTGTTGGGCCCCATGGTGGGTGGGGTCACTAGGAGCTGAATAATTATTTCTAAATATGGATTCTTCAAAATTTAAAACATCTACCAATGTACTGCCACCAAAGGAGGTCAATTCCTCCAATCAACCAACCTACTTTATTGTTCACGCTACAGGAGAAACGCCTTTGTCTAAATGCTCTCCTTTTTTAATCCAGAAACTTTTTGAGTCGACCATTGGTCACCTAAAAAAATTCAAAAATTGAGGTCAGGAGATCTACTTGTGGAAACAGCCTCCCATCAACAGTCAGAAAAACTCTTGAAAACGCAGTCTCTAGGAGACATACAAGTCACCATCACACCACATACAAGTTTGAACTCTTCACGTGGTGTGATATCTGAAATTGATCTGATGTCTGAGGATGAATCAGATATCCAGATTGGTCTTTCAGATCAAGGTGTTACTGCTGTTCGATGCATCTCCATTCGTCGAAATGGCAAGTTAATCCCTACTAAACACTTAATTTTCTCCTTTAACAAACCAACTTTGCTATCTGCTATCACAGCAGGTTATCTGCGCTGCCAACTTCGTCCGTATGTTCCAAATCTGCTGCGTTGCTTCAAATGCCAGCGATTTGGACATTCACAAACATCCTGCCGTGGGAAAAGCACATGTGCAGAGTGTGGAACTGAAGGTCACGAGAATACCGAGTGCACCAATTCTCCATGCTGTGTGAATTGTAAAGATGCCCATTCTGCTTACTCAAGGAAATACACTGCATGGCAGAGAGAAAAGGAGATTCAATGGGTAAAAACCACAAATAATACACCATACCCAGAAGCCTGCTGCATGGTCACTCAAACTACAACATTAAAACAAAAAACATTCTTTCTGTTGTGAAATCTACAAAAACATGTGGAGTTCAAACAGATATTTCTGTATCACCAAGTGAATCTCTTACTAGCCATGCAAGATGTCTACTGATTTCACCTACACAAGCAGAAGAAATGGCAAACACAAAGACCAAAACTCCTGTAACTAAAACAGGGGTAACAACCAGAAATGTGGGTTCTAAAAAGGCTAATAAGAACCCACTGAACAAACAAAAATTGAAAGCAGCCCTCTCTAAATCAAAGAGATCAGAGACTCAATCCATGAGTGAGTTCTCTGATATTTCTGATGAAGAGAATAATACGGAGGGGACTTAACCACCCTCACCTTCAAAAGGAAAATACTCAGTAAAATTGAAGAGGGAAACTTTTGCGAAGACTGCTGCCTCAAACACATAATGGATTATAAAAGAATCTAATGAAACTGTTGTGGTTTCCACAACAACTTCTCTGACATTAAACACTTGACATTATATACCTCACCTCTCTCTGTGGCACTCCAGGAAACCCATCTGAAACCTGGAGAAAGTATTTGTTTAAAAGGATTCAATCTCTATCGCAAGGATGATGATAGCCACATCCATGCCAGTGGAGGTGTGGCTATTGTAGTTTCAAATCACATCCCATCCTTGCCAGTACAAATAACAACTGATTTGCAAGCTGTGGCAGTCAGAATTTCAATTGGTGTAACTGTCACAGTTTGTTTTGTATACTTGCCACCAGAGGTCAGAGTGAACGAGGATGAATTGGATGCTTTGGTTGAACAGTTGCCAACACCAATTTTTTTACTGGGTGAATTCAATGGCCATAATCCTATGTGGGGCAGTCCCGACATTAATTGTCGAGGCAGGATCATTGAGAGATTTATAGGTAATCATCAACTGTATCTATTTAATACAGGAGAAGTGACATACTTCCATGCCCCAACAAGAACATTCACTGCCATTGATCTATCACTAGCAACCCCAAACCTATTATCAGCATTTACATGGGAGGTTGGATCTAATCCACTTTCCAGTGACCACTTCCCAATATTTCTAAAATATCGAGGCAGAGAAAGCTGTGAAACAGCCCGTTTACCACACTGGAAATTGGAAACAGCCGATTGGCCTGTTTTTTCTTCTATGGCCAACATTACGGAGGATATGGTGAATATTGCTGATATCAATGACGCAGTTTAAGTTGTCACAAGGTGTTCCTCAAGGCTCTATTTTGAATGTGACTCTGTTCCTAATTAAAAATAAGAGCATAGCTAACTGTCTTTTCCCTAGTGTGAAACACTCTATGTATGTGGATGACTTTCAGATCTCCTGCCAGTCTAGCAACATGAGTTTTATCGAGAGACAACTACAAACCTCCTTAAATCGCATAGACCATTGGTCCAAGACTAATGGTTTTAGTTTTAACACGGAAAAGACCTCGTGCATCCACTTTTGTCGAAGGCGTGGTTTGCATTTGGATCCGGAAATTTACCTAAACGGGGATAAAATCCCAATGGTGAATGAGACTAAGTTTTTGGGTGTTTCTTTCGATAATAAACTGACATTTTTGCCACACTTGCGCAACCTGAAGAGTAGATGTTTAAAATCTTTAAACCTTTTAAAGGTACTATGCTGCTCATCCTGGGGAGCAGACAAAGTTTCGATGCTCAGGATTTATAGGGCCCTTGTCCGCTCTAAGCTGGACTACGGTTACATTGTTTATGGCTCTGCGCGAGAATCTACTCTTCGGACACTGGATCCAATCCATCATCAAGCTTTGCGTTTGTGCACCGGTGCATTTCGAACTTCTTCTGTTCAAAGTTTGTATGTGGATGCTTATGAGCCTCCATTATCTCTCAGGAGAGAACAGTTGTCTCTTTTTTATTACATTAAACAAAAATCTCAGAAAAAACTTACAGCTGATTGTTTAGATACTCAGCTGAAAAGATTATTTGCCGCTCGGACGAGTCGTGTCTCTACATTCGACATAAGAATGGAGAATGTAAGCAGCATGATTGACCTAGACACAAGCAATATTTCACATGTTGAGGTTAATAGTATTTCACCTTGGTCAACTTCACCGATCGATGTTGATTTAAGCTTAAAGCAGTTCCCTAAAGAAACCACGCCAGACTACGTCTATAGACAGCACTTCGCAGAAATTCAGCATTGTAACAGGAATTTAATTCCTATATACACCGATGGATCTAA